CAGTACACTGATTGAACGTTGTCACCCTAGGAGTATTGAAAATAAAAGGGGAGGGTGGGAGAAAAATAATGCAACCACCACATCTAAGGACTGCAGTGCATTACATTGTATGCTGCAATATATTCCATTCTTGTTTTGGGGTTTAGATATAACGTAAAGCTAAACTCCAGGCAGATAGAGAAGACACAGATTAATGCAGCTCTGTATTCATGAACACATCATTAAATGTGTGTTTAAAATACAAGCAGTGTAAATGATGAATCTGCAGTCCCCTGTACAGCGGAACTGGAAAGTAAGAGAGAATAAGCTGTGCAAGAAGCCAATCAGCGCATGTCCTGACAAGAAGCATGCTGATAGGAGGAGAGCTACAAGTGGAAGAGCTCATCACTGTGCTACTTCTCCTTTTGCTGTCCAGTCGCAGGCGGGGGTAGGTCTAGGATCACCTGGGCTCAGCAGCCGAAGTCAGGCGAACGGATCAGCCGAGCCGAGTGCATATGCTTCGGCTCGGCTGAGCTGTAGTCACAGCAGTGGCGTCACAAGGGGGGTGCGGGAGGTGCGGCCCGCACCCAGGTGACACCATTGGAGGGGTGACACCAAAATGACTGACAGTCATTTTGGTGTCACCCCCTCTAAAAAGTCGGGCACTTGGTCATGGACCGAGAGCCAAACAGTGTCAGTAGAGAGGAGGGACCTCATCCAGCCGGGTGAACATCCCGGCCTCTCTCTGCCGCCGTCCATCACCAAGATGGCCGCCAGCAGGCGACAATTAGATGGCCGCGCATGCTCGATGACGTTATTGTGCACGCGCTTGGCAACGTCACAGAGGGGTGTCACCCACTCTCCGCTCCGGGTGACACCCGGCCTTGGGACGCCCCTGAATCACAGGCAAAGTGGGGAGAACGGTCTGCCGAAGCAGACCGTTTTCCCCGCAAATGACAACAACTGGGCGGAGCCAGCCATGATGTCACGGCTAGCTCCGCCCAGTTGTTGTCATTCAATGACAACCCAGCATCCTCAGGTTATTTGAGGACACTGTGCTGTCACTAAATGTCAACAATGGGCTCAGTTCCCTCCGGCTCGGTTAGGCTGCCCCCGGCAGCTTAGTGAATAACCCCCCAAAGTCCCGACACATTGTAACCAGTATAATCAGCAACGGTGTCAATACTTCCTGTGCCGATCGGCAGCTTGACACAGTGTTGCAATTTACTGGAAGCAATTTGCAAGTTCAGGTATCAATATGACTCCCACGGTGGCTTCGTAATGTCTGCGGCTCTTTGTACTCTCAGCCACTCGTGATGAATTGCAACCCGATGTAACAACATTTAGAATATGAAAGTCCACGCATGGGCTTGGATCGTTGATCTGTGTTTGGCGTGTTCCCGTTAGCTCCGTATTTATATTTCATCGTTCTCGCTTAGAACATTTAAGAAACAAAATTTCCCATGAATCAGTCAAATAGCATCTCCGGCTTCAAACTGGCATTATGTCGTTCCAAATCACAGCCCTCCTTGTGTTGGGAAACCCCCCAAACGCCGTCCCTTCTGCACCACCCATCCCTTAACCGTCATTAGCGCCATAACGATGTATCGATTTGTTACTGGGGCAATAGGAGAGCCTCAGATCGAATTCTATTCTTATCTTCCTGCATTCATACAGCACGCAGAGATGGATTCGCCAGGCTAGCTGCTTAGCGAGCGATTTGCATATTTATTGCAGCTTTCCGCGCATGCAGCAATCCCAGACGAGGGCTTCGGTCCGCTCGAGGTAAAGGTCAGGCCAGCGGAAACACTCGGCCGCGGATGGCGATGATAACGGGGCCGAATGCGGAAACCATTTACTGAAAGTTTACTTTGGCGTGCGCGTCCGGCCTCCCCTCTGGATTACGTAACTATTTACCTGAAACACTTTTTCATCTATTACTTATTCATGGAGACGAGAAGGGAAATGGTGCTCCGGAGTTCCCGGGCCTGACCCTTCATACTAAGCACTAATCAGATTGATGAATTGCATTTTGCTAAGTCCGGGGGAAGAATTATGCTGCTCTGTTTATAAAGCTGCAAAGTAATAAAGTAATCAGATTCTGTTCTGTGGGGAGACTTCGTAAATTCGTAAAGACTTTCCATCCACTTTTTCTTTTTTTTTTTGTTATTAACAAAGCTCGCTGAGAATTAATTCCACTCCAAAACTGATATGAAGCAGAAATAGAAAAAAATAAATAAATAGTACATTAAAAGATAAAATAAAAAAGATGCTTTTTCTGCAGCACTCAACAGTCCAGGGATGATCCCGGCGGTACCTCTTTTCTAGCATCATTCAACTCTTTTACTCTAAGTCCAGGTTGTCACTGACCCCAGAGCTATCCCTATAATGAGGCCTCAGGCAGCATCTCAATGGATCATATGTGGGGAGGGGTGTCAATGGGTCACACATGCCACCACCTTTTCCAGCCAGAGTGTCCCAGGTTGCTAAGATCTAGCAACCTGTGAAGCTCTGACAGGGGCATCCCGGGGCCAGGTGTGAGTGGAGACAGGGTGACACCCCGCCATGACGTCATGATATCATTGCGCATTCGCGGTCATCTTATTGATGCCTGCCGGTGGCCATCTTGGTGATGGGCACCGGAAGAGAGAGGAGGGGACGTTCACCCGGCGGGATGAAGTATGCTGCCGGGTCCCCTCCTCTCTCCTGACACTGTCGGGCTCTTGGTACGTGACCGAGTGCCCGGCATTTCATAGGGGGTGACACCAAAATATCAGTCAGTCATTTTGGTGTCACCCCTCCAATGGTGGCACCTGGGTGCTGGCCGCCGCCCCCTTGTGACTTGAGTCCTGTTCAGCTCCTGACAACCAGTAATGTCAGTGAGCTGGGCTGGACGCCCGGTGCCAGAGGTACCTTGCATCAACCCCATAACATGCACCAGCAACACTCCCATCCATCCAACCACACTCCTCGTAACATGCGCCCCCAGCAACACCCCCCTCCCCGGTAACATGTACCACCAGCACTATCCCAACCCCCCACCGCCTCAGGTGGCAAAAAATCTAAGGACACACCTAATTGGCCTACCTCCAGCCTGTGAATGGACAGTGAGGAAGAAGAAGCACTTAGCACTACTCATATTAGCACGCTCCTTCTCAACATTGAACATGAACTGATTGGCTCCTTGTGCTGCTTCTCCCTCTACCGGTCTGAGCTTTGCTGTACATCAGGCCAAATTGTGACACTTACTCTGCTTGCATTAAACCAGAACTCTGGGGACTGCAAGGGTTAAGAACTCGTTTTGGTCTAGGGAGGAAAATAACAAAGTTATACTCACCCGATCCATGGAGATGGCCAGCTGTGCCAGTGCTCCCTGCAGCCTGACTCCTCCTCCGCTGCATCGAAGATATGTCCCTCCGCGTCCTCGTGTCCTATGCACTGTGTATAGAATGTGATTATAAATAAATAGGAATAAAAATAATATAATTTTGGACCTTTATCAATAGGCCAGCATGTGTAAAGAAGTAGCATTCTGGTCTGTTTATAAAGGTTCAAAATTATATTTCATTGTGTTTTATTTATTTCTTTATTTTTTTAGGGGGGTGTGTAAATAATAAAACATTACACAATGTTACCCTGTTTTTGTTTGTTTTTTTTCAACAAGAGGATAACAAACACTATAATCCTGTTATCTTCTTATCTTGTTTTTTGACATTGTAACTTTCTGTTTTGAACTTTTGTATTGTTTTGAATTCTGGAGAGAAATGTTGTAGCAGAAGGGGCACGGCGCAGCATAACACCCCATCAATGGAGACTTTCCTTCCCTTTCTGTCCCGGGGAGAGAAGTGAGAGGAAATCTCTCAACAATCTCTTAGGCCTTGTTCACATCGAAAGTGTGTGCGTTCCAGAGGGATAGCTGCTGGAACGCACCGCGATCGCTAAGAAGCCTATACCTGAGCTTTTGGGGTGGCTTTGCCAGTGTTCCGTTCCACTGCAAACGCAAAAAAAATAGGGCTTGCTCTATTTTTTGCGTATGCGGTGGCATGCAACGCAGGCAAAGTTGTGTCACGCGTTCGATCGCACCATGGATGGTAAGGGAGGGGTGGAAGCGGTGCCATTGAATTCA